GATTAATGGTCTGGAAGTGACTAGAGGCTTTGGTAAAGGCTCTAAGGTCAAAATCTTCTTAATGGCAAGTCCAGTGGCATAGGCTGTAAATATTTTAAGGTTTTACAGTCTTTGGATTTTGATTTAGTTTATGGGGTTAGAGACCTCAAAATGGGCTCAAATTTGGAGGGTAGCCTCCAGAAACATGTCTTATCACTTTGCAAATGATAGACTTTGAATCGGAGGTCATTTGACAGGGTTTTAAAGTGTTTAAAAATCCCTGAAAAAGGCTTTCAGAACAAAGCCTTTAAACTTCGGATTTGAGTCTGGATTTGAATTAGATTCTGGATTTGATTGATTAAGTTTGAGTTATCTAAATCATTTATGATCATTTGGAGGATCATAATTGATTGGATAAGGTTGAAGTTTGATCAGAAACAAGATCAAGATTTTTAACTGGAGATTAAGATCTTGAACTGGATTGGAGTCTGGATTTTGATTGAGGTTTGATTTGAATTGAGATCTAGGTTGGCTTAAGGTCAGGATTGGTTTGAAGTTTGAATTGATCTGAGATCTAAATTAATCTCAAGTTCTGGATTGATTTAAGGTCTAGGTAGCTCCTAAGGCATGAGAATATCATAGGGTCTGGATCTAGGAGAATCTTAGGGTCTAGAATAGATCCTAAGGTCTGAAGTCTAGAAAAATCTTAGGACCTAGAATAGATTCTAAAATTAGATTCTAGAAGGATCATAGGATCTAGGATAGATCCTAAGGTCTAGATCTAAGAGAATCCTAGGGTTTAGATTGATTTGGGAGAATCCTAAGGTCAAGGTAGATCCTAGGGTCCAGGGTCTAGATTGATCCTATGATCTAGAATAAATCCTAAGGTCTGGATTCTATGAGGATCCTAGAGTTTGGATTGGTCTAGAGATTAAATTGATCTGGGGTCAGGACTGGTCCAGGTGACCTCATACAAAAATGAGGTCAACACCATCTTAGAACTGAAATACAAAGCTAATCATCCACTATTTTAATTTCGAACTTCCAACTTCTCCATCAGTCGTCTGATAGCTGTCAAATATCAACATATCATGTTCATGTTCCTTGCTTGATCAATTGTTTAAGGAGAATGACCAAAATAATAGTTCATCATTTTCCAACTTTTGAGCTACCCACTTTCATCAGACTTCTAAAATCACTTATTGACTATCATCTAACACTTGCCAATAGCTAAAATTTGATGTTCGCCAACTACAACACACCTGCCATTTGTGCTTGATCAAGTCATCAAATCTCTTTTCATATCAAGAGAACATCTAAACTAATTATTCACCATGCCCAGATTTTGACCTTCTCTATCAACTGTTGTTTGATACTCATTAACAAATAAAAGTTATCTCCCATAATCTAAACAAATTGGCATTATCTTAATACCTAATCTTGAATCATGCTAATATAATTATTTCAACTAATACATGCCCCATAATTTTCCACTTACTAAAATTTTTATATAGAAAAGTTATCTCTCTGTCGCCTTGATCGAAATCTCTTAATTCTTTAAACATATATGATATATCCAGCAAATAATGAAGGTGAAAAATTTGCTTACGTTACTTAAAATGAAGCCGTTGAGATCTCATATATTTTATCCAATCTTGTTTTGATATTTTTTTGTCTTTTAGTTTAAGAAGTAAAGGTCCAATTGCCAAGTTTAGATCAACGTTAAGATAATATCAGCTGGATAAGTCTAAAATAATTGTTACGTATTAGTTTCAATTTTTAATGATAAATGAAAGCTCTGTGCACATAAACAAATTAAATGACTCATAACATATATGACAGTGACAGAAGCTATGAATGAGATGTGATACAGTAAAAAAATATTTATTAAGTAATATGAAAATTTTAGAAGATTGAACTTTCTACATAAAAAATCTCAAGTTTGCTTTTCTTCCTTCTTCATGAAGAATATTATTAATAATTTATAATTATTAATTAGCTTACTGATTTGATTAATAATTATATTTAGTTCAGATATGTATCGAAATTTCTTTTATGCATCAAATTAAGATTAGATTGATGAAAATATCTTAAACAGTTTTCTAGGGATAAATTGTTGGATAATTGAGAATCTGGATAGATCTAAATATCACTCTTTAAATTCTTTGAAGCATTAAAGTGTTTATTTTTTGTATTTGTTCTAATTGTAGGAAGCAATATGGCGAGTTGAATTTTCTTTTCTTTGTAATAAAGAACTTAAAATACTAGGTCTTGATACTTGAACATGCTGGAATAATGAGGAGTAAATCATGCGATGAAACAAACAAGAAATTAAGTAACAGCAGCGGAAATTAAAAGAACACGACATTTAATGTGGAAAAACCTGAAATTGGGAAAAACCATGAAACCACACCAACGAATCCACTATAAAAATGGGAAGAAATAAAATCTCTCTTCTCTATTCTCTCTCACTTTCTCCTTGCTTCTCTTCCATTTTACATTGTTCTTATTATGTGTGGAAACTGATTGTGTTGATCAATTGGGTTGTTATGTTGCCTCACGCCTCATATTTCTCAGGGGCTCGACCCGCAGCGTCACACAATATTGCATAGTCAAATCTAGAGCATTGCAACTCTCTGCACTCTGTCAATCAGCGTTGTGGGTCCTTTCCCCCATGGCCAGTCGCTCGCCTCCTGCCCAGCTCACAACCCGAGTTAATAGGTCGAGTCGTGTGAACCCGTTAATCTGGTGGGTATGGCCTGGATCTGAATTCTTGACACGTTTTCCTAATATGGTCAAATTTAAATTTGATTAGTTAAAGGGTCAATTTCGAGCTGGACTGAAATTTGACCCGAAATTATAATCCCTACAACATGAATAACATAATTATTCTCTGTTATAAATAAGCTCATTTTCTTCAATTTTGATTAAGAGAGGATTCTTGTACATCCAATTTAATATTCAATTATTATAAGTAGTGCTTCATGGTTTTGCTCTTTTTTAGTTTTCAAGTAAAAATTTTAATTTCTCAGTGAAGATCTTAAATATATATTCTACCGCAAAAAATTTTCTAGCACGTAGAGGAAATTTATTATATGTTTGAAGAGAATAATAACTTAGAATTATAAATAAACGATTATTTTTTGTATTAATATGATAAGAATGAGTTTTTATTTAAGTGCAACTGATCAGTGATCACTATCAAAGATGAAAAAAAAAATCATAGAGAGTGAGAGAGAAGTATTGAATACCAGTTAAGAAATATATTTTTATGTATATTTAATAAAAATATTAATTTTTTTTAGAGGTGCAGCTCTCATGTTTTTACGAAGCCACGCTCGAATCGATCATATTTCATCTTATTGTATTTCAAATGACTCCATTCCCTAAACTCTTCTCTGAAAACGAGAGTTAGAGAAAAGTATTGAATACCAGTTAAGAAATATATTTTTATGTATATTTAATAAAAATATTAATTTTTTTTAGAGGTGCAGCTCTCATGTTTTTACGAAGCCACGCTCGAATCGATCATATTTCATCTTATTGTATTTCAAATGACTCCATTCCCTAAACTCTTCTCTGAAAACGATCAGTCATGGCAGAAAACAGGGAGGCCCGAATCGCCCCTCACATGGTCGTAATCCCATGGCTTGCCCAGGGCCACCTCATCCCAATGCTTGACCTTGCTCGTCTCCTCGCCACCGCCGGCGCCAATGTTACCGTTATCACCACCGCCGCCAACGTCCCCCTTTCCACCTCCCCGTGCCCAGCCTCCCTCCGCTTCTGCGTCATCCCTTTCCCTTGCCCCTCCCTCACAGGCTTACCCCCTGGATGCGAGAATATCGACTCCCTCCCCACCCACCGCCTCGCAGGCCCCTTCTACTCAGCTGCCAAGCTCCTCCGTGGCCGCATCGAGCACCTTCTTCTCCACGGCCTATCGCCCTTGCGGCCCCCATCTTGCCTCCTCTTTGGCATCGGCTTCCCTTGGCTTGCCTCACTCGCGCGCGACGTGCTTCCCATTCCCCGCCTAGTATTCCATGGATTTTCCTCATTCACTCACCTTGCCTCCCACTACCTCCACGCATGCAAAACCCACGAGCGAGCCTACAACTTCTTCCTGCCGGGGCTCCCGCACAAGGTGGAGATCACGCGGTCGAAGCTCCCGGTGTTCTTTGACAAGGCCAGTGAGGTGCGCTCGGTGTACGAGGAGATACGAGAGGGGGAAGTGGCGGCGGATGGGGTTGTCGTGAACAGCTTCGAGGAGCTGGAGCCGAAGTACGCAGCTATGTTCGCGGAGGCCACTGGGAAGAAGGTTTGGACTGTCGGACCTGTTTCGATGTGTCAAAGGGAGAAGCTCGATGTGGGTTTAAGGGGGAGGAAGGGTTCATCGGGGGTGGATGTGGATAGGTGCAAGAGGTGGCTGGACGACAGGGAGATTGGGTCGGTGGTGTACGTGAGCTTCGGCAGCATGGGCCGGCTTGAGCCAGAGCAGACGGTGGAGCTGGGGATGGGTTTGGTCATGTCGGGTTGGGCGTTCATGTGGGTGGTGAGAGAAGGCGCGCCTCCGCCACCGGTGGAGTTGGAGGGAGTGGGGGAGAGGGGGATTGCGGTAAGGGGGTGGTCGCCGCAGCTGATGGTGCTTTCGCATGCAGCGTTGGGAGGGTTTTTGACGCACTGCGGGTGGAATTCGGTGGTGGAAGGGGTGGCGGCTGGTGTACCGATGGTGACATGGCCGCTGGGAGCCGACCAGTATTTGAACGAGAAATTGGTTGTGGAGGTTTTGAAGGTTGGGGTGGAGGTGGGGGGAAGAAAAGAAGATGAGGGGTTGGTGCGGAGGGAGGAGGTGGCGAGGGCGGTGGAGAGAGTTATGGGAAGAGGAGAGGAAGGGAATGAGATGAGGAGGAGAGCCAAGGAATTGGCGGACAAGGCAAGGAGAGCCATGGAACGTAGTGGATCTTCTGGCCTGAGCCTGGCGCAGTTAATCCACGACGTTGCATGCTGGCCCGTTGCATAGTACTACTGTATAGTGACTTGTTGAAACAGAAGAAAATGCCTGCTCTGCATCTTTATAACAAACACCTTGAAGTTAGTTGATATCAAAGTGACGGCAACACTTGGCTAAGGCTTGTGTGTTAATCTGCCACTGTTCCATTTATTAGACCCTTTGTATATACAATGGCCCTTTGTTAACCACACAACTCAGCCGACAAAGCACTTATTTGTTTGACTTGACTTGGTTAATCTGCAAATCTAATCCTAATCATCATCCTCATCTTCCACATCATATTGTATATCATCCTCTTCTTTTTGTTCTACTTGCATGTCTTCCTCTATCTCCTTTCCACTTGCTCGGCCACCCAAAATGGCATATTATTGTAATTAACTCACTCTGCATGGAAAACACGATGATAGCCAATGTGATGCGGAGCATGTTAGCTTAAAATGTTTCTTAGACTATCTAATTTAGTTTGTTACAAGTTATTGCATATTTTCTAGAATCTTCTAGGTATCTCTAGGTTTTTACTTGTTTATTATGTATAGGTTGTAAAAGAGGAATGAATGATATGATGAATATTATATGAATTGAAGTTTAGTGTTTGGTTTGCTCTCTTGTTTTTTAAAAATCCTTCGAGCATCCTCTTCTTCCAACGATCCAATCTACATCAGTATGATATCAAAGCCTAGAGCTTGCGAAGAACGATGGACTGCAGAAGAAGGTGTGCCGTCGACGATGATCGAATTCGGAGAAATTGGGCGGTCGACGAAGATCGATGCTGAATAAGATGGGCGGCCAACAAAGATCGATACCAAAGGAGATGCGCGGTTGACAATGAAAAAAAAAAGTAAACAATGAAGCAATCACATGAAAAATATATAAGATATTTAAATTTTATGTTAAAAATAATTAATTTTGTTATATTCAATATCACATGCATGAACTCTTTTATATTTCTATGATTATAAGTGACACATAATTTAAGTATAAAAATAGACTAACAACAAATATTAAAATAAAAAACAATATTTTATACCAAAGCCATTGGTTTAATATTTGTGGCTTTGAGATTGGGGACTGGGCCTAAATTTGATGGAGATGCAGATGCTCTAAAAATTCTAATTCCTCTTCACCCTTTGTTGTGTGGGATCATAAAAACACAGAATTGATCATCAATCCTGTACCAAACAGGGCTCATATTTTATCAGAGCCATACTATTAATCAGATGATTCAGATCAGATCCCCCTCAGTCAAAATTTCCGGTTCGACCGCACTGACACTCGCTCACATTAGCCTAATTATGCCACGTGTTCACTCGCCACGTGTTCTACTAGCCACGTGTCAATCATCCAAGAACCCCAATGTTTCTATAAATTTAGAAGAGAAAATCAAAGCATGTAACCAACGCAAAGCAGACTCTTCCATCAGTTCTCTTATTTCCCAATCGAAGGATGTCGACAGTTCCAAAGTTCAACGCCGGCGAGGCCTGCGGCGAAGGCCAGGTGGGCCATCTTCTTTTTTAAGCTTCGCGGAGTAAGATTGCTTATCGTGTTCGTGCTCCATCTGACCGCTAAATTTTCTTCATTTTTCGTGCAGGAGAAAGCTGGCCAGTGGGCTCAATCCGTTCGTGATACGACCCAAATTGCCGCTCAGTCTGCCCATGACACGGCCCAGAACGCAGCCCAGTCCACCAAACAGTCCGCGGAACATGCCGGAGGGCTGATGCAGCAGGTTCAAATTGCGAATACCAACCAAATTTCCTCAAATTACTAAAACGCCATAATATTAAGACCTTGCTAAAGTATAATAATAGTTAATGGAATATAAAAGTACATAATACTAAGATCTTGTTAGATTAGAGTCCTACAAATTAAATGAATTTATCAAAGCTTTTAAAATTTGACCGGTCAATGAACCGGAAGAATGAAAGGTTAGGAATTCGATGGTCGAACCGGATAACGTAATAAATACTTATTATATTAAAATATTATAATAATGATACAATTATCATGTATGGCTATCAAGAGGAACATTACAGAGCAATTTGATATTCCAAATTGAAGAACGGAAGATTAATACAACTGTAAATTAATTCATGAATCTAAAATAGGATAAAAGGTTCTTACTAACAAAACAAGCAAACTCAAAACAAACTTGCAGAAATAATAAATTTAATCTCATTCATGTGTGCATATAGGACATCTAGCCAACCAAATAAACAAAAAAAAAAAAAAAAAGCTTTTTTTTAAGCTTTTGCTCATGATTTCATTATCATAATTAATAAAAAAAGATAAAACACAACAAGAACTGAAAAAAAAAAAAAAAGAGAGAGTAACTAGCTAGTAGCTACTGTTGCTAACAGGGACAAGGTTTTAAAAACCGGACCGGACCGGCCGGTTCAACCGGTTGAACCGGGAACCGGTCTAGCGGCCGGTTCGGTTCTGCCATTAGAATCGGGCTGCAATGAAACCGGCCACAACGAACCGCCGGACCGGGATCGTTTGAAAGAACCGGCCGGTTCCGAATCGCGTGTTTTGAGCCGCTAATCTCACATCTTAAGGCTGAAAAAAATAACATTTTACGCGCAACACTTCTTGCATCTTTCTCACAAACCCTACGGAGACGAACGATCCCGGACCTGGAGAAACAAATGACGGAAGCCTTGGAGAAGAATGACTGGAAGAGACGAACGACAAGAAGAGACGGACAAATGACGCCTTCTTTCCTTATATTTCTATTTCTTGGGTATCTTATTCTTCTCGGCTTCTCCTGATTTTTCCAATTGATTTTCTATTTTCTTTGAAGAACTCTTTCTCTTTCCGACTCAACCTGGGGCAATACAAATTGCAAGATTTTAATTTTTAGATATCACTCGAATCTTGTGTTTTGCCGACACTCCAATGCCAGTTCCGAGTAATGAGATGCTGCCACGTGGATTAATCTGCGGAGGCAGCTTATCTAACAAATGCCAGTTCCGATAATAAAGTTACATATTATGAAATAAATTAAAAGTTTAAAACAGGTATAAAGGTTGAACAATTCACAACTCTACAATTATCTCGCCAAGGATTGGTTTTGAATAGAGCTTCCTTTGGAAAAGCATTTTGTGATGTTATCCTGATAGTTATCATGAGAATTTGTTATTTTTCTGTCGTTTATTCTTTCTCAAATACTTTTTATATATTTTTAGTTTTTATTTTAAAAGAGCTATTTTAATTATTTGTGTATTTTTTTATTCATAATTTTGTGTTCTCGTTAATTTTTTGTCACATAATTTATAATAATAGCATCATTATTTTGATTATTTATTTTTTTTAAATAAATTTAGTATTTATGACATCATCCGGTTCAACCCCGGTTCGACCGGTCCAACCGGTCGAACCGTGAACCTCTCACTCTTCCGGTTTGTCGCCCGGTCCGGTTTTATTCAATGATAAATTTATGAAATGATACATAACTACATCAATTTTTGCAAGTACAAGGAGGGATTATTACGTGCGGTTATCGGATCATTCGGAGGCAAAATAGGATGCGCCACATCAACCGATACATAGCGGTACATACTTAATACCGGTACACAGCAAAAAAGTGATGTGGTGCATCCTGATTCGTCTCCGAACGGCACCGCACATAATAATTTTACAATATAAGGTGGTGAGAGATACCCTCGACTGCTTAGGCACTTAAATTTTTTTTTTTTTAAAAAAAAGGTAGAAGTTAGCCATTTCTCCAGTTGCGGGTGAGACCAACTACCTAAAACAGAAGATGAAGAAATTGAGGGAGGAATCTTGGATCTTCCAGAAGTCTAGTATTGAGAAAAATATTCTTTAACGTTCAGGCAGCTTTTGGAATATTTTTCTCCTGTCTAGAAGGGAGCTGCTTATTGAAGCAATTTGACAAAAGTGAGGCAAAACTTCAAACAACTTTTTCAACTTCGGATTTCGGAACTTCCTGCTTTGATATGTAGTTAGACCAAACATCCTATTTGATATATCATCAAAAAATTATCTTGATCGGGCACGAATCTCAAGACAATCAAGTTGGAAACTTCAAAAATTAAATTTGGGATCATCTGAACTTCGATTTCAGCCAACTTATAGTCAAACTGAGCGTATCGGAAATACAAACCCAACGACACCAAATTCAACTCAATCTGAGGCCAAATGAGTTTGAATCAAAGACTTGAAGCGATGTTGGAAAGATCAAATCACAATTTGGATTACCAAACCGTTTCCAAACATGACATGCTTATAATCTAATCGAGCGGCTCGACGAGACGAATCCAACGAGCCCAAGATCGCCGAATTCCGATATCGTTAAGACCTTCAAATGTTTGACAAACGGTCCACGATCAAGGGATTCAATATCAGCCGTCCATCCGAATCACTCCACATTTGCCCATTATCCTCCTCCTATTTACGGGTTATGTCATCATCAAAAAACTATAAATAGCCCCTCATTTCTCTTGGATGGGGATCCAAGCAAGAAGAAGAGGAGAAGAAAAAAAGAAGAAGAAGAAGAGAAGGGAATGAGGGAAGAAACTCCTCCTCGACCGTCGTCGGGAATCTGCCCGACTTCCATGGGACCCCGAAATTCTGCCCGACTTCCATAGGACGCAGAAATTTTTCCCAAGTGACTCCGGAATTCTACCCGACTTTCAAGTAACGTCGAAATTCCGCCTGACTTTCCAATGACGTCGGAACTCTGCCCGATCTCTAAGTGATGACGGAATTCTGTCTAATCTTCAAGTGATTCTGAATTTATCTCGAATACACAACTTATTTGTAACTGGATTTCAATTAGAACGTGAATCATTGTAATTTGATTGTCCTAAAATTTAAAGACGAGTCAGTCTCTTGTATATATCTATAGAAAACACTAGCGAAATTCTTTCGATTGGGCGTGGCTCCGTGATTTTTTCACTTTCCAGGGTTTTCCACGTAAAAATTATAGTGTTCTTTCATCTTCTGTTTGTGTACTGAATATCAGTACAATGCTGAGATGAAAATTTTCTAAC